GAAGTTTTACGGAATTACGATATTTGAAGTAATCACATTTAGCAAACTTGAAACATGATTTCAAATATATGCAACTCGAATTTATGGAACATTTAATGAGTTTTAGTATAAATTACATTAAATTAAAATCTAAACTTAAATTTAATTTATTTTGTTTGGAACATTTTTCATAATAAATCTAATTTGCCAAAAAGGCTCCCAATATCCCTATAATCTGAGCAATGCGTTTTATATAAGAATGACCAATAGTTATTAAATTTGTTTTTGAAGTAATACAATATAACGAATAAGCTTGAAAACTATTTTTAAATCAATACAAATCAAATTTCGCGATACTTAATATTTGATTTTTCGTTATTTGTTCTGTCGTAAGCAGTTAACTGAAAATTTTAACAGTCATTAGAAATAAATGAAACAGCACAATTTAAATAAAAACATTGGACAATATTTAAATTAATCCAATTCCAATTCACAATCTATACAATTTAATATTTTATTTCATAATTTATATTGATTAGGGTATTTAATTAAATGTTTTATAGCACTAAATTGTTTGAAGTGACACAATTCACCTTACACATAAATACTACTCAAAAAACATCACATAAATGCTCATTAAATTGAAAATTAGATTTTTAATTTAATGTATTAAATAAAGTACACAAAATGAAATCATCAAATCACTATTGCATGATTTACTCTTAACTTATTTTCTAAATTCTAGAGCAAAGGTTTTCAGAACTTTTTTTTAGCCATAAAACCCTAAATAATTGGCATTCTTTTGATGGAAGCCCAATAAATTTTCTGTTGCATTTATATGAATATTTGACTTCGCCTAATTCGGATGTAAGAGCATTAAATCTGAATTTTTTTTGCATCTAAAGCTAAAGATATTTTTAAATGACATGATTAGTCGAAACACATTCGAACGAAGCAAAAGTGCAAAAATGTTATTTAAAACGAACGCTTAAAAGGGAGTCACCTCAACTGTTGCGGCATCATCTGGATTAAAATGGCATATGAACTCGGAACTGTCAAAGATGTCTCCATACGTGGTTAAGGACACTTTTCTCTTAAAACATGTTCAGAAACACACGAAGAAATAGTTCATAAAAGAAAAATTATCCTAGCGGCATATGACGACACTTTCGAGCATGGTTTTCTGTGTAATTTTAATCCTGATGATTTACTCTAACTACTCTAGAAGTTTTTCGCAATATTTGCGTGAGCCCCTTTGACTTTGATGCTTATTAACTTATACATTTCAAGAAAGATAGAATAAAAATGTAATTACAAAAATAAGAAGAAAAAAACTGTAACTAGGATTAAACACCGATGGCTGATTTGAAATCAGTGATAAAAAGTATCTAAGCTGTGTTACGAAATCTCATGAAACAAAAATAAACATGTACACCTGTGCAATCCATTAAAAATAAAAATCATGAGCAATTATGGACATATAAGCCTAAGAAAGACTATTTATTTAGAAAAACTGTGAGAAATGAATCTTTTTCATTCTTTTGTCAATGATAGTCTTAAAATTAAGTCTTGTTTTAAATTAGTTTTTTGTAGCATGCAAAATGAAAAATGCTAAAAATGAATTAAATTTGCTGAACTACGTCTTTCGTTAAGCGAAAAAGAACTGTTATAAACGTTTGATTTTTTTATCATTTGAGTATCATTTACATAGCTGAATTTAGATATATTATTTCGAATTGAAAAATTTGATAGGAAATACCAATGCAATTTTATAAAAGCATATTATTTGTATAATGAATTCAATAAGCGGTTATTAGAAAGTAATTGTATATATAAATATATATTTTCAATTTTGATTTTTTCAACTGGAATTTTATTCAAACGATTTTATGAAAATAAGTAAAATATGAAAAGAACAAATTATTCTACGGATATAATTAGAAAATTAAAAATATATAACAATGTTAATTACTTTAATAATGATTAAAAAATATCAAACTCTCGAAACCGCTATGATTTTACTACGGAGCAATAAGGCTTTAGGGAACGCCTTTTGGGAACCCGAGTCCGGAACCAAACTAGTACATTTTGAAAAAAAAAAAAAACATTAGATAACTTTATATTCCTATTAATGAAACTTATTTTAGAATTTTCGTTTGACAAACCATTGTTAAATTAGTTTTCACGATGAGTTTGCACTGTTCACAAATGATAAGCAGCTAAATTACATTGAAAATTTTACTAAATAACATTATTTGTAGTACTACAATAAAACTAACAAGCTTGAAACATTCTTTCAAATCAATACAACTCGAATTCGCGACACTTAATTTTCCTGTCACGGACATACAATTTCAGTTCTTAGGGCCATGTTGAGGGGAAATTGCCTTTTTAACACAAGCTTTGATAACGACACTGCTTGAAACTGCATTTGCTGGGGATGACTCTAATCTTCATCGATCTGGGAACGGATAAAAAAAAAAATTCCTGGGGCGATAAACAGGAGAAAAAAAAACTTAGAATGAAACATAAAACTCAGAAAAAGAATAAAAACGATAATGCACTCTCTATTCTGCTAAGACACAAATTAAGTTGAAATTCTTTGCTATATCGAAAAGAAAATACACTGTGAGAATAATGATTATTTGTTATATCGAAACTGCCTTTAAGCGGATAAGCTGTGTTTTAGAGTAAAAGCTTTGATACTTCTCAAGGATGAGAAGGAAAAAAAAATGTAAGTGTTTTTCGTAAAAAAAAAGTTAATGCGTTCTTTTGCATGTGTTTTGCATATTAGAAGAAATTGAGAGCCTTAAGAAATATTGGTTTGCTGCAACTCAAGCCATTGCTATTTGCTATTTTATAGTAAATATGTTTTGTTATCACCGTCTTTATTTATTAAAAAGTTATGGCAATATTGGTGCTGTGATTTAAATGCAGTTCATGCGTATGATCTCGTAAAAATTCCGTTAACTTGAATATAATCTTTCTGCAAAATATTCCGGATCAAATTACTGTATGAAGTACCGGCACTTTGGATGCATCATCCGTAAAATCTACTTTTCCGTAAAATTCATCTTTGACAAAAAATTTTATACCATAATTTTTTCAGTAATATTGATTCAATTTGAGTGATTCAGTGATTTTATGATAATTATTACTGTAAAAATTAAGGTACATTAGATTTTTTGTTTCGCAATATGTTGCAGCAAAAATTGATTTTAAGGTAAGGAACTACCGGCGCACTGAATGGTGGTACTTCTTACAGTAATTTTTTACAGTGTACTTAACAATTTGATATAAATATGCTATCTTTAGAATGAGCGTGGTCTATACAAACCTAGATTTTCATATATATTTCGAAATTTTAACAAATAAATCACTCTTTAAATGAGAAGCAAAAATAAAAGTTATATACAGATTTGATGTAATAGTATTAACATTAATCAAATCTACGCCAGAATCTAAATTTCCAAAACATGTTTGTTTGTTGGATTTAACTCAAAAATATTCTTAATAATCACCTTTTAGTTTCATTAAACAAATAAGTCCGTTTTGATGACATTAATTTTTCACTGCCTTGATTGCTAAAAATAATGTGTTATTAGATATTAAAGAAACTTCATTAAATGAAAAAGATATGGAGTTGGTCTTTGTAGCAAATAAATTTTTCTTACTATCAAGTATATCTTTCTATCGCGACAAGGTGGTATGGTGGTCAGAGATTTCATCTCATGTTAGAAAGGTCTCGGGCTTGAATCCCGGTCAGATGTGAGGAACTATCTTTGAACTATTTGTCCTTCTTAGTGGGGGAACAACGTTGGCCCACCTTATATGATGCCCCTGAAGAAGTGGTTAACACATCTGCCTGATTAACTAAATCAAATATAAATGGGTGGACATTGAAAAAAATACATGTCTTTCAGCTTTAGTTCCTCGGAATTATCCATTTCATGGTAAATCATAATTTTATCACATTTTGTTTAAATTTAATTATAAAATTGCAACTTTTAAGGAGCTAATTTCAATGATGATTGACACTAAATAATACTAAAACCAAGTATATGCTAGCAAAGGAAAGACACTCAATCATCTAAATAGTGGTCATCATGAGTTTGAAATTGTACTTTGTTCTAATTTACTTAGATCTTTGATTACAAAATAAAAAATGGCATTACTTCTGAATTCTAAAAACAAATTTCATTGGGTTAATAAAGTGTTTTTAGACTTCGTACGTGATTGAGATCTCACTTTTTCTCCAAAAAAAACACACACNAAAAAAAAAAAAAAAAAAAAAAAAAAAAAACGTATGCGTGAAAAAAGTTTCATATGCATAAAGCTTCGTTTAAGCCAGTCCTAACGTATGGTTCAGAAACCTGGCTTATGACGTACATAAAATATCAGGTTTTGAAGAAAGGTTTGCAGAAATATACTTTGTGGTATGGGAGAAAATGGCCTTTGGTCATTTTCTGTCACAGAATGGAAATTCTGTAAATTTTCATTTTCGGAGAAAATTTCATCGAATTTTTAAAGAACCCAATAGCACTAATAATAATATAGTTAAAAGAATGATCTGGGCTTCTCATGTTACCAGAATAGGTTTAAAAGAGAAGAAAGGAAATTTTTCATGTCGAAGTCCTTCACTAGTCTGATGGAAGGAAAGCTGAAATAACAATGGTTCGATTCTGTGGAATCAGATTATAGAATGATTGGGATGTCCCAGTGGGATCTTCAGCAAAAGTCCTTGGCTCACCTTGGACTGTTGCACCAAATATGATTAAAAAAATCCTTAAAAGGATACACCAAGTTACTTCTGTTTAGTTTCGTTTCCTTCACTAATTTTATTAACTAATACAAAGATTGCATTGATAAAAAAATCAGCAAATAATTGTCTTTTTGCAGTATAAAATAATTTATTAATGAATAATATTTTTAAAAAAGTAAAAATACTAAATCGATTTAATTTTACCATTTTTACCTTTAAAGTAATTTTTGAAATATCTTGTACTTTTTTTAAATTCCAGGTACCACTTTTGGCAGTGGCAGTTTTTGTCACTGTCACAGAAGCTGGCATGAGCTACGGTGGAGGAGTTTACAGAGGTGGAAAAGGAAAATATGATGGCTATAGAGGAGGAGGCGGTGGACGAGGTGGGGGATTTGGTGGAGGTGGAGGACGTGATGGCGGATTCGGTGGTGGTGGACTTGGTGGAGGTGGATTCGGTGGTGGAGAACGTGGTGGTTTTGATAAAGGAATCGGTGGAGGAAAGTTTGGAGGTGGCGGAGGGCGAGGAGGAGGCGGTGGATTTGGTGGTGGAGGACGAGGAGGTGGATTTGGTGGTGGAGGACGTGGGGGTGGATTTGGAGGAGGAGAAGAGAAAGGTATTGGAGGTGGATTCGATAGAGATGATTTTGGTGGAGGTGGAAGGGGTGGTGGTGGTTTTGGTAAAGGTATTGGGGGTGGATTAGATAGAGATATTGGTGGAGGAGGAAGAGGAGGAGGAAGAGGAGGAGGTGGATTTGATAGAGACATTGGTGGAGGTGGCTTCGGAGGCGGGCTCAATCGAGGAGGTTATGATGAGGAAGACTTTGCTGGTGGACGAAGAGGTAAAGGAAAATTTGGAAAAGTCTAAGATATGGATTAGTTGAATTAAGGAAAAAAGACTTGAAGACTTACACTCAAAAGGTTGTGATAAATAAAAGTGAATAAAACTTTTTTTTCTATTTTTTAAAATACACAGTTTGTAACAATTTTACAATATTTGTTTTCTTTAACTTTTTTGTGGACAGCATATTGTTTTCTATTTTCCTGGAATTGATTACTTTCTGTAAAATGCATTTACTTATTTTTTGTGATTGCAATTGTGTTGCATTGTTCTTAAAAATAAATTTGTATTACAATTATTAAAATTTTTTTTATTTCCCTGAAGCTAATTATTTTTGTGAAATACTTTATTATTTTAAATGATTTATACTGTGCTGTATATTTTTTAAAAAATAAATATTTATGAAGCAATTTGATATATTTTTTAGTGTTGGCCACATGTGTATAATTATTTAAATTTTACACCATATGAATTACTAACCAATATTAGTGTGACTGTCAGAAAAAAAAAAGATAATTCATAAAATATCAAGTATATTTTTAAGTTAAGTTCATTTTATTTGAAAAAAAAAAAGAAAATAAATAAATAAGTAAATAAATATAAATAAATTGAAATCAAAGCACTCTACTAAATTTCTATCACTTTAAGTGAAAACGTAAGGAAAATGCAAATTATTACTTTCAAAATATCAGTTCTCTTTGGAGACTTTTTGTTTTTTAAGTCGATTAGGTCATTCACTCTACCAGGAACGTAATATCATTTATTTATTCAATCACAAAGGCCGTCGAAAATGTTTTCAGTTCATTTTCAAATCATGAAATTAGATTTAGTTTTAAAAAACTCTTTGATTGCGTTTATTTGTTTTTTATACTGTATAAATTTAAAAAAAATGCAAGAAACTTCAATTAGAGAAAAAATAAGCTCAATTTAAAATATGCTATAGTAAGTAAGATGTTTTGAAAAAATTACCTTTAACGAAATGAAGATAATTTTTTTAAGATACAGATTTCATTGAAAAAATTTATACCGTTTAAATTACGTTAACTTTAAATGTTGTTAAATTGTAATTTAAAATGAATAGATATTTGCATTAAGTTTATTAATAATTTCGGGACAAGGGTCTTGAATATAAAGATTGTTAAATAATTAAAAAATAAAATAAATAAGAATAAAAATGGATTCTCGAAAATTTCTGGTGCTTTTTCCTTCTTGAAAAAGAACTAAAAAATCACTTGCAGAAATTTAATATAAATTTATATTCATTTTTGAACATAGGAGTAAGTACGATGATAATTTGACTTATGATTGATGTTTTAAATTTCTTTGTAAGTCTCAGTATAAATCGTATTAGCATGGCTAGTAAAAAATAAGGGATTTTTTTTGAAATAACTCATATCATTTCGATATTGTAGAACATTTTCAAAGCAGAAACAAAAAACAAATCGATTCTTTTTCGGGGGGGGGGGGAGAAGAAAAACGAAACTTGTTTTAAGAAGAATGTCTTGAAGGGGACATGATCAGCTACTTCGAAAATCATCACCGAGGGAAGAGGGGGATAAAGTAATCGCATTAGAGCAAGTCATTTTCAAGATTGTTCACTTTATCTCTCCGCTAAATGGACCAGAATAACTTTAAGGGTTGCTGATCCTCGTCTGATAACGCATTTTCATCCGAAGATTATTTTATTCTTCTTTCCAGAAAGGAAACAGATTAAAGATTCCCATCACTGGAGTAATGAATTGATGCACTTCCGAAAATTCTAAAAATTAGAATCAAAAAAGTTTTAACGTGACAACGGTAATGGAATGCTAAAAAGAGGTGCGTACTGCTCTTTTTATTTTGTTTAAATCATGATGTATGAAACAGTATAGTGTCAAGTCTATATGATAAATTAAGAAATTTTCATGAATAAATGAAAAACACAAAATTTTGGCGATGATTAGGTACTCTAAGAATAAAAAAAAACACTTATCACCTTGAATAATTTATAAACTAATAATTTTCGCTCACATTCTGTGGTTTTTTATTAAGTCTACAATTATGATACAATATACTGCAAGGTCTATACAATAAATTGGAAAGTTTAAATGGATAAATCAAAGTCAAAAAATTTTTGTACAGAGATTTCCGATAATTAGGTGCCGTTTAAAAAATAAAACTTAAAATCTTAATCAATTTTAAACTAATACTTTTGATAACATTCTGTGTTTTTTTTTTATTAAATCTAAATTAATGATACAATATATTGTTAAGTCTATAGGAAACATTGTAAAGTATACATGAATGAATGAAACAAACAAAATTTCGATATAGATATTTCCAATCATTAGGTGCTCAGAGAAAAAAAAATTATCACCTTGAATGATTTCTAAACTAATAATTATCACTCAAATTCTGTGTTTTTTTTATTAAAAGTCTACATTTATGATGTACTATACTGTTAAGTCTGTACAATAAATTGGAAAGTGCATGTAGATAAATGAAAAGCAAAACATTTCTGTTCAGATAATTAGGTCTCTTTTGAAACTGGAAACTTATAAACTTAATACGTTTTAAACTAATAATTTTTATCACATGCTGCGGTTTTTATTAAATCTACCTTAATAATAAAATATATTCTTAAGTCTACCTGAATAAATGAAAAATAAAACAAAATTGGCACAGATATTTTCGTTAATTAGTTGCTCTGAGAAAAAAAAATATCACCTTGAATAATTTCTAAACCAATAATTCTTGCTCAAACTGCGTTTTTCTTAATTAAGTCTACATTAATGAAACAATGTGTTGTTAAGTCTATATGATGAATTCTGAAGTCAACTTGAATAAAGATAAAACACAAAGTTTTGGAACAGGGATTTCCAATAATTAGGTGCTCTAAAAAAGGAAACTTATCGCCTTGAATTATTATTAAAGTAATAATTATTGTTGGCATTCTAATGCTTTTTTTATTGAGGCTACATGCATGATACAATATAGTGTCGAGTCTATATGATAAATTAGAAAGTCTGCGCAAATAAATGAAAAACACAAATTTTGGTGTTGAGATTTTCAATAATTCAGTGCTAATAATTTTTTTAAATTAACAATTCACAACCTTAATTTAACCACAATTTATGCATGATTTTTTGAAAACATTTTGATATGCATATTAATTAGAGTAAATTATTGTACAATATAGTGTTAATAAAATAATATTATACAATGTAGCAACGTTCAGTTATTATACAATATATCGTACTAAGAAGTTATGGCATAATTAAACTACGCAATATATTGAATCAAAATGATGTATTGAGAAACCTTAATGAATGCATTAAAGACACAAACTTTTGGAACACAGATGTCAAAATATTGTGAATAACGATGACAAGATCCTGCATATAAACTTGAAAACTTGCAACTTGTAAGTTAGCTTTACGAATCACATAAATTTCTGAAAATCGAAGTTTTCACGTTCTTTGATACAGTCTTCCTGCGTATAGGGGCACACAAAGATATGCACATTAATTGTCATAAAATATAATACTATAGAGTAAAACTAATATTGGTGTAAAGTAATAAAGTGAAATGAGATATTAGAAAGTAATTAGGGGGGAGTCGGGTAGCCCCGCCCACTGTCAATTTCATATGTATAGAATATTTTTTCAAGTCAATGGGCCATCGGACATTAATTGTTATATTAAAAAAAGATTATTTTCAAAGTTTCAAGTATTTATGCAGCTGTTAACATGGTAAACAATAGTTTTGAAAATATGTTGAATGCAGTAGTCATGAAATTAAGAAAAATTGGTTGAATGTTTCCATTAAACTTCATTTTAATACTAAAAAAACAATTTTTTCTATACATACAGCATTAAAGTATGTAGTCTTAAGTTTAATTTGCACAAAGCAAGAAGTCTATATGTGAAAAATTGTTCGAGTAATTACAAATTTACAAAAAAATTGGATTTCGGGTAGGCTCGCTCACAATAATGTCGGGTATCAACGACCAATTTTATTTCGTCGATAAATGTACGGTTGCAAAGATTATTATTTTATTGCTTCAAATTTGAATGTTATATGCATTTTTAACAACAAATATTGTTGTTATTAAATGATAGAATTCACTAAAAGTATATAAATATGTAATAAATATAATAATTTTGTGATAAAAATGATAAACGAGGTTTACCTATTGTCAATACATTGGTCATTTTCATTGACACCTGAAAAAATAATCAAAAAACATAATTTTTGTAATTGGGCGGGGCTACCCGACACATTTTGAAAAGAGCTTAAAAACATGCTTTTTTGAATTTTTTTTTTTAAGTTAAACTATTCTTTTTTTGGTTTATTATTTTTGTATTATTTATTGGATGATAAAACAATAGAAACATACAAAAATATTGATTATTACTCAATATTATACAGAAATATAAGCAATACTCCTTAAATGAGGGGGCTGCACGACTCTCCCCTAATTACACAATATATTGCTGAGTAAAAAGATGAGTTCAATAAGAAATAATATGAGCTTAATTTCGAGTTTAAAAGTTAAGATAAAAAATATTATTTTGTCAACATTTAACGGACAATTTTTCAAGATCCGTTTCCCAGAAATTGTTTTATAATTTTAAATAATAAAAATTATGTATTAGGTATTTTTTATGTAAACATACTTTTGCATAGATTGTCGACATATGTGTCTGATATTTTTTGAATAGTTTCTTGTTTTAAATAGCGTTATATGCTTATTATATGATTGGAGTTTTTTTTCTTTCTAGAAAAGTAAATTCTATCACCCATTTTTCCCACGTTACAGAAGAAATGTTGACGATGAAAGAAAATGATAATGAATTTGGTTTTGAAACAGTTAAAATAAAAAGCTTAAACTTGTTCTTGGTCGTAAACGCATTATATTCTTACCCTTTTAACGGAATTTAGTTACCGTTTAAGTAGCGAAATAACAAACTGAGTCAGAGAGCTTCTTAATTCTACTGGTATTTTCCTAAAACAACACTTTTATTGCAGTTGCAAATAACTCTATTTACGGTAGAAAGCTTTAGCATGTAGTTTCTCTGGAAATGACAAAGACTCATGAGAATGACCACGCAGAGAAAAAAATTTAGCGGGAGTGGTCAAAACTCTCCATTTTATGGTAAAAACTCTCAGAATATGGTAAAGTTTATAGCTATGGGAACATCAAAAGCTCGGTAATTTTTATTGAAGATATCCTTTTAATTAAAACTGGTCTATCTAACATAAAGGCTAAAGTTGAGTTACTTATTATTAGCTTAAAATGACTGTTTTTTAAACTTT